GTTCTGGGTCAGATATTGGAATACATAGTAGTGAGCTGGCAGCCCTTTAGCTTGGTGTCAGAATGTCCTTTACAGACTTGCCTTCTGCTAAGCAGATGTCTGTTGTATTTAGAACTTCTCATGCAAATATTCCCAGATATTCCTTGTCAGGGAATAAGTTCAGTTCTAGAATTCCCCCAGGATGAACTATAACAATAAATATGAAATACATTTTAACCAGGTTCTTCCACCTGGCACTCGCAATCCCTTCCATAGTCCATAGTCCCTTCAAAAAGAATCTCTCTAACACCCACTCGTGTGTTTTGAGATCCTTCCTTAGTCGCAAGGGTGGAACTCTTCATGTCAGCTCTGTACTGTGGTGAAGGACAGCCGGTTTGACGCGAGTCCAATGATTCCAGATGTGTCTCTCCAAAATCCTCACGGCTATGTGGGTGGTTGGTAGAATCTGGAAGGGTCCATTCCATTTGGGCTCTAGTGGTGATTTCTGGGTGAATGATCTTATCCAGATCCAGTCCCTGGGTCAAACGGGTGAAGGGATTCTTCTAGCAGCAGTGTCTGGGTTAAAGTGCTGTGCTTCCACAAACTGCAGTCGCTGGTGCAGGGCTGCAAGATATGAGGATAGAACCACATCCCCCCTTTCCAGGCTCAGTGAGTGTGGATCTAAGCCTTTTAGGGTGTTGGGGGACGGCAGCCAAAAAGGAGTTCAAATAGGGAGACACCTAGGTCACGCGGGATCTGGTCCTTAGGTGGAAAAGGGCTATGGGAAGAGCTTGGGGCCATAACAGGCAGGTCTCTTGACACAACTTGCCCAATAGGGTCTTGGATTACCTGTTCCAGATTCTCCCCCGCCCCACACAAGATGATGAACGGTGGTAAGGGGTTTGAAGGTTTTGGGTGATCCCAAGGAACTGCAGGATGTGGGTGATGACCTGCGACACAAAGTGTGTCCCATGATCCATGTCTAAAACACTTGGCACCCCAAATTATATTTTTCAATAGATGACAGGCTGTCTCAAGGGCAGTGGCATGAAAGCTTCTATCCAATAGATAAGCTGATACCTGCAAGCTAAGGTGTATTGGTTGCCTGTTTGCCTGGGGCAGCTGGAGGAAATCCAGTTGTAGTTTTTCAAAGAGGCGTTGTGCACATGGCCTTCCTCCCTTCTGTATAGCTTTCCTAGAAGAGGCGTTGTTGGCTGGGCACATTTGTTAGGCCTTAGCTATGTGGGTGGCCTCACTTTATGCTTCTTGGGCATACAAACTCACTTGATGGCATCTACCATGGTCTGCGTTCCACAATGGTCCTTTGAATGCAGTTGCTGGTACATGAGCCACAGCAGGCAGTGAGGGGCTATTGGTCTACAGTCTGGGATTCACCCAAAACCATCCTCAAATTTCTCCTCCCAAGCCTCTGCTTCCCCCTCTTCAAGAAAGGTCTGGTAAGAGGTCCTCACACTGACCTTTAAGGTTGGGAGAACAATGTGTGCGGGCGCGGATTGGGTATAACCCACGTATTGGTTGCCTTTTGTGATCCAGGAGTCATCGTTTTGTGGGCCTTGCAGTGGATGACAGCCAGGGCCAAGGGCAGCCGGATAGCTTGGAAACAAAGATCACATGGGTGATAAGGTGACCAATCAAGGTTAGGAACCCACGTTGTTTCCCCAGAGCCCCAATTGCATGGCAAACCCCAAACACATATCTGGAATTGGTATATATACATTAGCAGACTGGTTCCTCGCAGCCTCACACACTTTTGTTAAGACTACCATGTTTCCCTGAAAATAAGACCCTGTCTTATATTTTTTTGAACCCTGAAATAAGCGTTTGGCCTTATTTTCAGGGAGGTCTTATTATTTTGGGGTGCGTGGAGCAAGATGGGGCTCCTCTTGCCATCTTACCTGATTTCCAGCTCTGCGTTTAAATATTTTTGGGGAGGACTTATTTTCGGAGGGAGGCTTATTTTAGCACATGCGCTCAAAAGCCCGACTGGGCTTATTATCAGGATATGTCTTATTTTCGGGGAAACACGGTAGAATTTCAGCTGCTTGGGCACTGTGAGAAGAAGGCAACCCAGAAGCCCAAAGAGTCTTGTAAAGAGAAACAACTGCGGCTCCTGAAATTCGCTTCCCCTCATGTTCATAGGACGACCCATCAGTAAAGAATTCTATATCTTCTGCAAGGGCAAATAGGTTAGATTGGATTGGGGCAGCTTTGCATCGTGAACTAGGTAGAGGCAGTCATGTAAAATGTCATCTGAACGTTCTGTGGGCAATTGTGTGGTGGGGTTGAGCATAGTGCATCACTGAAAAGTAATATGCTCTGAAGTGAACAGCTCAGCTTCATACTGGGCTAACTGCTGCTGGGTTTGGGACTTGGGGCTTATTTATTTTATTTATTTATTTTATTCGATTTGTATCCCGCCCTTCTCCTAGTGGACTCAGGGCGATGCACAGCCAGAACTAAAACACATACCAATACAAAATTTAAATTTTTAAAAAAGAATTATATGACTTTGGCCCAAAATTTAAAACATTCAAACTAAAACCCATTGACAATTTAAAAGGCTAAAAAAAAAAAAGGGGGGGGGGGGTTCACGCCAGCCCTGCTTGATGGAAAAGGAAAGTTTTTAGGGCACGGCGAAAGACCCGGAGATCCAATATCCTTTGTATCTCCGGGGGCAAATCATTCCAGAGGGCAGGAGCTGTCACAGAGAAGGCCCTCCCCCTGGAGGTCGCCAGCCGACATTGCCTGGCTGATGGCACCCTGAGGAGTCCCTCTCTGTGGGAGCGTACTGGTCAGTGGGAGGCTATCGGCGGCAGAAGGCGGTCCCACAAATACCCAAGTCCTATGCCATGGAGCGCTTTAAAGGTGAGAACCAACACCTTGAAGCGCACCCGGAAGACCACTGGAAGCCAATGCAGCTCACGCAGGAGAGTTGTTACATGGGAGCGCCCCTCGCTCCCATAATCCCCCACGCAGCCGCATTCTGCACCAGTTGGAGCCTCCGGGTACTCCTCAAGGGGAGCCCCATGTAGAGAGCATTGCAGTAGTCCAGGCGGGAAGTGACGAGCGCCTGAATGACTGTGCGTAAGGAGTTCCGATCCAGAAAGGGACGCAACTGGCGAATCAGGCGAACCTGATAAAAAGCCCCCCTGGCCACGGCCGTCATATGCTCTTCTAAAGGCAGCCGTGCATCCAAGAGGACACCCAAGTTGCGAGCCCTGTCCATGGGGGCCAATAACTCGCCCCCAATAGCCAGCGATGGCACCAGCTGGCTATATTGGGATGCCGGAAGCCACAGCCACTCGGTCTTGGAAGGGTTGAGTCGAAGCCTGTTACTCCCCATCCAGATCCGCACGGCCTCCAGGCACCAGGACATCACTTCAAGGGCATCGTTGGGATGGCCTGGGGTGGAGATGTACAGCTGAATATCATCAGCGTACTGATGGAACTCCACCCCAAAGCCACGGATGATCTCACCCAGCGGCTTCACATAAATGTTGAACAGAAGGGGCGAGAAGACCGACCCCTGCAGCACCTCACAAACAAGGCGCCTCGGGGTCGACCTCTGCCCCCCTGCCAACACCGACTGCGACCGGTCGGATAGATAGGAGGAGAACCACTGTAAAATGGTGCCCCCCACTCCCAACCCCTCCAACCGGCGCAGCAGGATACCATGGTCAATGGTATCAAAAGCCGCTGAGAGATCTAACAGGACCAGGATAGAGGAGCAACCCCTATCCCGCGCCCTCCAGAGATCATCCACCAACGCGACCAATGCCGTTTCCGAGCTGTGCCCAGGCCTGAAGCCGGACTGGAGCAGATCCAGATAGACAGCTTCATCCAGGTACCCAGGAAGCTGTCGTGCCACCACACTCTCAATAACCTTCACCAAGAAGGGAAGGTTGGAGACCAGACAGTAATTAGCCAAAACAGCCGGATCCAGAGCAGGCTTCTTGAGGAGGGGCCTCACCACCGCCTCTTTCAAGGCTGATGGCAAGACATCCTCACTCAAGGAAGCGTTGATAATCCCCTGGAGCCAGTCTTGCGTAACCTCCCGGGAGGCCAGCACCAACCGCTTGAGGGTTTGGGACTTGAGGAGAATAGCAAAAATGTAGTGTGAGACCTTTAAAGTGCCTGGGTGATCGAGGACCAAATCCCTGGAGCATTTAACTATGTCCATGCTTGCTGCTACAACTCTTAAGCAGGGGACTGTTCCTTGGGCCACTGGTCTAGCAAGACAGGCTAATAAACTACTGGTTGTAATGTGGCTCTGAATCTTTACGTTAATAGACCTGAACCCACCCCTTGGTTTTTATGAATGAAAAGGTAAAAAGCAGTTACAATGATCTGGTAAACCTAGTGTGGGTGCTGAGGGTAATGCCTGCTTTATTTTCTGGGCCAGTGATTTTTTTCCACAAAATGGGATCTGGCATATCCTTTACTATCAGATGGATTAGGGGCTTTGCTAGTTCCCCAAATGAGGGAATCCAGGGGCGGCAAAAGCCCCAAACCTCCAAAAGTACCCTGACTTTTTGTTTTTTGTAGGGTGGTTTTATACAGAAAATAGTCTTGACCTGCCCCGGAGCTAGATTACGGGTCCCAGGGGCAATAATACAACCCAAATAGGTTTCTTCCTTCTGTAAATACTATAATTGTCTTGGTGAGGCTTTATGCCCCTTTTTGGCCAGGGAGAAGATTATATGATGGGTATTGATTTAACAGTCCTCATTTGATTCTGGAGCTATCAGTAGGGCAGGGTCCGGGAAGCTCATCCACAGATGAAAGGGGTCTGTTGCTGGCCAGATGGTGACATACCCGGTCCCGGTCCATCGATTAGGTTAGCTGGGAGTCCTGCCATGATTGCCAAATTGTTGGCAGAAAAAGGTCCAGTTCGTTCTTTTCTGGCTGGGATGATGAGATCAGCATAACGAACGGAATGAGAAACCAAGAAACAAGCTGCTGGGAAAGGAGGTGATTTATTTCAGAAGCCAGACACTGTAGTGACAACAGCATTGGGTTCCAGGTCAGCTGGTCCCTTGGTCTGGTAAGTGGACAAACTTTTATATAGTTTTGGGGCTCTGAGATTGAATTTCTGGGCTTGTTGGGCAATAAGCCTCAAGTGTGTGTCTTTGGATATTCTAATTGTTTCTATTGTGGCTGGGAGGTCATGCCCTGTTCTTGAGGTCAGGTGGGGGAACACAAATTTGATTAGCATTGTTTTTGGATATTTAATCTACCAAGTTTCAGCTGTGATGGCTGTAGCCAGCAGTGCTTTGCTTATGAATAGGTTGCAACCATTAACACTTTTGTTTATGAATGGAGCGTCCAGCTACTAAGTTTCCATTCATAAAGCATGTTCCGCCTTTATGAATGGATACAAAGTTTCCTACTCATAGGCGCTTTGGCTTATTGCGAAAGCTGCTCCGGGCGATTTCCTATTAGTGGGAGCATGCGAGTTGGCTCTTGTTAAGGGGAGGGGGCCTTTCTTCCAACTTTGGGGGGAAATGAGGGAGGGGGAATTCTCCAGTTATTTTCCCCTTGTGGGGTCTGGCTTCCTACAAGTGCAAGGTGGCCCAAAGGGCAAAGATGAAAGAAATAGGTAGTAGGAACAAGGGAAGTGGATGCTGTAGTCATAAATGCAGGCAAGTTGTCAAAAGCCTGGATTCTAATTGCATGACTGTGGGGGCATTGCAATGGCTGTAACTTCAAGGTCTTAATTGCCATTTGTTCAGCACTGTTGTAATTTCAAACAGTTGTTAAATGATTAGTTGTTAAGTGAGAACTACCTGAACATTATTGTGTGTTGATAAGGCATGAGTCTAACTGTGTGTTGATAAGTATAAAAAAAACTGAATCTGGGAAAATATTTTCTGACCATGGCCTCCACCTACTGCCCAAAAACTTTAGTTTTTTTCTTTTTAACTGTAAGAGACCAAAATATTTCTGGAGTCAGAGATCCTTTAAACAACAAAAACAATTACAATAATAATTAACCTGCCAAGGTGCAAGCAAGTTTTATCAGAGGAAGTGCCACTTCAACCAGAGTAAATCTAGAAGCTGAGATAGAATCAGATTAATTTCCTCTTAAAAGCAGCTCCCTTTTATCGGGATTCAATTTAAGATTGCTTTGTTTCTTCTAATCCCTCCAAGCCTCCAGACACAAAGTAAGAACTACTTCTGGTCCAACCTTATCCTCAAGCATGAGATCCTATGCCATTTCAGACAAGTGACTGTTTAGTTTCTTCTTAAAAACCTCCAGTGATGAAGCACTCACAACTTCTGAAGGCAAGCTGTTCCACTGGTTAATTATCCTCACTATTAGGAAGTTTCTCCTTAATTCCAGGTTGCTTCTCCTGCTCCTAAACTACTGACTGCAAGCACAACTCTGGAAGAAATAAAATCATGGGGCTTATATCTAACCCATATCTTGAATCCTTATACCAACATATTTTATTTTATTTTATTTTATTTTTTTAAATTAGATTTATATGCCGCCCTTCTCTGGAGACTCAGGGCTGCTTACAATGCATTAAGCAATAGCCTTCATACTTTTGTATATTTTATACAAAGTCAACTTATTGCCCCCACAATCTGGGCCCTCAATTTACCTACCTTAGAAAGGATGGAAGGCTGAGTCAACCTTGAGCCTGGGGAGATTCGAACTTGCAGTAATTGCAGACAGCTGAATGTTAATAACAGGCTTTTAGTCTGTTGAGCTATCCAGGCTCCTTATAAACGGTTTCCCAATCTTTTCTTGAAAACCTCCAGTGACTGAGTACCCACAATTTCAGGAAGCAAGCTGTTCCACTGCTTAATAGTTCTTAATATCAGAAAACTACTTCTTATTTCCAGGTTGACCTTCCTCTGTCGAGCTTCCACCCATTGCTTCTTGTTCTACTCTAAGGTGCCACTGAAAATAAACTGATACCCTCTTCTCTCTGCTAGCTGTTCAAGTATCTGAAGACTGCTATCATGTCTTCCCTCAGTCTTCTCTTTATTACGCTAAACATACTTAAGTTTCTTTTAGTAATTCTTCATGGGATTTAGTCTCCAGATCCTTTATCCTCTTTGTTGCTCTTCTCTGCCTCAGGCTTTTTGCATTGTAGTGACCAGAACTGGACACTGTATTCCAAATGTGGTTTCACTAGTGTGGTGTAGAATGATACTGTCATTTCCCATGATCTTGATGTTATCCTTCTATAATGCAGGACTATGTTAGTTTTTTCTGTAGCTGCACCATAGTTGCTCATTCAAACCTAAGATGTGATCCATCAGAACCTAGATCCCTCTTACAGGCAATACTGCATGTTGACTGGTAAGGCCCCACTCCCCCCCAGCTTTTGTGTCATCCGCAAACTTGATTAGCACCTCTTCAATCATCTCATCTACCATAGGTCATTTGTGAAGATGTTGAACAGCATTGGGCCCAAGACAGAACTTTGAGGTGCCTCACTGCATGCTTCCCTCCATTCAGATGTAGTTGTATTGAGGACTACATATTAAGCCTGGTTGGCTAGCCAATTGCAGATTCATATGGTAGTGTTACTGTCTATCCTGCATTATTCTATGTTACCAAAAAGTATGGTCTATTTCTCAAATGCCTTACTGAAATCTAATTATACTTTATCCACAACAATAACTTGATCCACTAATTTAGTCATGTTATCATATAAGGCTATAAGATTTGTCTGGTATGACTTGTTGTTAACAAACCTTTGTTGGCTTCTATTGATCACCTATGTTCATTTTTAGGTGCTCACAAATCTGCTGCTTGAATAGAACTTCATAAAGTGTGGCTCCCTAATTCCAGTCATTGCAGCTGATCCAGAAGAACACTATAGTTTATGATATGAAACATTGTTGAAAAATCTAATAGGGCCAGGAAGGGTGCTCTCTGCCCATCCTGGTCCCAAGGTAGGTCATCTACAAGAGCAACCATTGCAGTTCTTTGAACCAAGTCTAGTTCTAAACTTATCTGGAAGGGATAATTTTTACTTAGGCTCCTCTGTAGCTGTAGCCCTACCATCTTATCTAACATTTCTCCCAAAGCAGAAGGTTGGAGTCCAAAACAACTGCAATTTGATATATTCAGAAATAATCAACTTCCTTCAAAAAGTCTGACACCTCTGTTTCACCAAAAAGTGAAACATTCACTGTAACAAGACTGAGAGACCAATGCTGGTGAATAGTGTTACATGACAAACAAAACATGACAATATATATAGTCATAATACAAGTTTAACCAAATTTAAGTAGGAATATCTCCCAGATATACATCATGTTACACAACAAAGCGGATTTAGACATCTAGCATATGGTTTCTAGAAAAAGAGTCAATAAACTAATTAAAAATAACAGATGAAATTATTTAAACAGATATAAGGAAAAATTCCCAGTGCTTAATATTGCATATCAAAAGCATAGCATAAATATTTAAGTAATGATTAATGGTTTGAGAAAAAGAATGGAATAGGAGACTGTCACCAAATTTTCCTTCATAATTTTTTACTTATGTTCTCTTTTTCGTTCTGCTTTTTGTCTCTTTATTCCTCATTCCTTTTATTCTTTTAAGCTATGCAATATAATGTTTTTAAAAATCACCTCATAAATCCAGCCAAACATTTTGCTGGCTGTAGCCAAGTAGAGTGTTCTACAGAGAGCCTTATCTACTTCCACAGACCCCACAATTTCAAATGCATCCCCTTGGCTTTGCGGGGTATTGCCCCAATTATCTTGTTACACTGTGCCCAAGTGGCATCCACCTCAGAGTAAATATGAGAAATTCTAGTCGCAATTCTATCCATATCATAGTGTCTGCAGAAATAACATTTCTTCCTTTTTTTCCAGGCTGATGCAGGTAACCTTGAACATGGCCTCTGGCTAAGAATATGCAGACAAAATAAGAGCGAAGACTTACAGAAGCTTCACCAAACATGGAAATCATAACCAATTCTCCATCCCTGTGGAGATGGACGAGAAAACCAACAATTCTTATAAAGCAGTGGTGAAATCTAAAATTTGTTACTACCAGTTCTGGGTAGTCACATTACCCGCCCCCCGGGGGGGGTAATGTGACTGGGTGGGCGTGGCCATTTTTTAAAAAAGTTTTAAAACCATTTTTTCTACAACCTCTTCGGCGAAAAAAAAAATGCTTTCAAAAGGCTCTGACGATTCCAGCTTGGATCGTCAGAGGCATTTAAAAGAAAAAAGGGGTTCTTTTCTTTTAAATGCCTCTGACGATCCAAACTGAGTTGCTTGATCGGCAGAGGCTTTTTAAAAAACTCAGCTTGGATCGTCAGAGGCATTTAAAAGAAAAAAACCCCTTTTTTCTTTTAAAAGCCTTTGACGATCCCCTGCTGAGCTGCGCGATCATCAGAGGCTTTTTTTTTTTTACTTTTAAAAGCATTTTTTCCACCGAAGAGGTTGCAGAAAAAAATGCTTTTAAAAGTAAAAAAAAAAAAAGCCTCTGATGATTGTGCAGCTCAGCTGGGCATCGGGGGGAGGGGGGGCAGGGATTTTTGCTACCGGTTCTCCAAACCACCCGCCTCCATCGCTACCAGATCAGGCGATCCGTCCGAACCGGGAGCATTTCACCCGTGTTATAAAGACTAAAAAGTGATATGATCAGGGCAACCGACTGATCATAGTGTATTTCATCTTCATAGAATCTATTATTTGCTCCAAAGTGAAACCTATATCTAGCATATGTTAGGGCCTGAGATCATCTGAGATAAGCCCACGGCATTCTGATCATATTCCAGTCTTAAATCTAAGGCATACAGCATGAAATCCTGTAGCCCAGAGGACTCCAGTATCAGATTAGCTGTGAAAATCAGGAACCCAGGCAAAGAGTGGGAAGCAGAGTGGTCAATATCGCAATAGAAGATGAACTACACCATATTATCCCCTAGGAGAGGAAATTAGTGAACTTTTCTTATTCATATTGGGAAAAGGTTGCCCTGTTTTTTTTCATTCTGTTTTCAATGAACTATGCAACCTACCTTCTTCCAGTACAGCCTGCCAACTGTTTCAATGAAACCACCAATATATCCTGTTTAGTCTTCTAACTAAGCTAAAATAAAGTTAGCCAAAACCAAAACTTGACCTTTCTTCTTGGCTGTTTATTTGCCCCATTTAACTCTTTCCTATTCTAGATAATTGTAATTCCATAGTACCACAATGGCCATGTCTGTCTCCATAACACTGCATACATCAGATACTCCAACTACATCAATATATCACTGATGTATAACTTTGGTGTAGATACTGCAACTACACCAAAGTTATACATCAATGGAGAGATCCAATAGGAGAACATTCTTGATCTACCATAACCATGATTAGTTACCTGACTTTCCTTGAAAATTGCCAGCTATGCTGGAGAAATAATGAAGCGTTCCACTAACCTATTTTTCTCCTTTCGATTTTTAAAGCAATAAATTGTCAAACAAAAGTCAGAACTGGTTCTGATTTGGACAAAAACAATGCTATATGAAAAAACAATAAACTAACAATTTACTATTAAATGCTTCAGCTTTGTCTCTTTCTATGGGATGTCATGTCAAACTGGAAACATATATTACCTTGATTCCCTTTTTGAAGTGTTCAGTTTGTACTGTATTTCTGATTTTATCAGATCAATATGAATTTCAAGACTTTAGTCCAGTTCACATTGAGTGCCATCATACTGAAGGATTGCATTTCCTCTGATTTTATTATTTCAGACTGCAGGTGGAGGTTACATTTTTGGATGCTACACTACACAGAATAAATCTTACAAGTAAGAAATTATCACACAGGGAAATTTTTGGCCATTCTATTTCTTGTTCTTTTAAGTTTCCTACTTGAAAGGAAAGCTTGGGTTTTGCATTTGATTTTAAAATGCATTCAGAAATGTGAACTCCCACCTGTACTCTGAAGTGGCACAGTCCATTCTACTGCCTCATTCCCATTGCATTTTGCCATGTGTGTAGACCAATCCTGAAATCACCAAGGAAGATTATTATATAAGCCTCCTGGGTAATATTTTCCATTGTTGAACTTGATCATGTAGATCATGATGGCTGCAACAAAATTAATTTTACATCAGTACATTCCAGAATAATATAAAGTGTAAACACAAAAATATGCACAACATCTCTGAACACCTATGCATATATATTTTTATTGTTAGATTTGTATCTATCTTTCCTTCAAAATCTCAAGATAGTATGTGATGTATCCATTTTTCCCATATCAGTCTTCTTGGGGATTAGGCTTGCTGAAAATGGATGTTGGTCTTACCTGAACACCTTTTCTACTGGAGGCTGGGAGAGAGAATCCAGGATAGGATGGGTGTTGCTCTGTTCTTCTTCTGCCTGGAGACTGAGCACGTGATCATAATTTGCATGCGTAGTCCCTCCTTCCTCACCTGGTGCTTCCCCAGTTCAATGAAGACGTAGCAATGAACTCAGTGTGACCTGAAAAAATATGAGCCCCTCCTGGACTGTGGACCAGACGATAACAAGGGTGGGACTGGATTCTCTCTCCCAGCCTCCAGTAGAAGAGGTGTTCAGGTAGGACCAACACCCATTCTCCCTGGAACTGGATTGAGAGAATCCAGGATGGGACATACCAAAGCCTGCCTGTCCCTCGCATAGGTGGGTAGCCGTCTGGTCCTAAGTCCCCTCTGCAGTATGTAACCTCTGGAGGATTCGCCTCCCAAAGGCCACTTCAGCTGAAGCGAATCTGTCTAATTTATAATGACTGATGAATGGGGAAGGGGAGGACCAGGTGGCTGCCCGACATACCTCCTCAATGGAAGCCTGTGTTGTCCACGCCGCTGTGGTGGCCGCAGTTCTGGTAGAATGAGCCATTATTCGGCCAGGTACTGGGAGGGCCTGAACCTTATATGCTTTATCTATGCAGGCCCTAATCCATCTTCCAACTGTGGAAGGAGAGACTCTTATTGCCCAATGTTGACGATTGAAATGAAATAAACAAGGATTCCGTCTCCCTTGAAGGAAGATGTCCATTTGATGTAAATACAGAGGGCCCTTCTGACATCCAAAGTATGCCATCTGTGCTCAAGAACATGTCTAGGTCCCAGGCAGAAGTTGGGGAGAACCAACTTTTGGGCCCTATAAAACCATATATTAACCTTAGGTACGAAAGAAGGGTCCAGCCTCAGGACCACCCTGTCCTGGTGAAATATGCATAGGTCCTGTCTGACTGACAAGACTGCTAGTTCTGAAATCCTCCTAGCCGATGTAATTGCAATGAGGAAAGCCACCTTAAACATTAAAAAATGAAGTGTGGCCGATTGCAAGGGCTCGAAAGGACCTCCCATGAGAGTCGGTAAAACCTGTGACAGGTCCCAGGTAGGGTACATGTCGATGACCGGTGGATTCCCCTAAGGAATCTATGCACCATGGGATGCTTGAAAAGGGGCTCTAACTGCCCAACAGATAAAACAGAAGACAGTGCTGCTACTTGTCTTTTGATGGTACTAGGGGTTAAACATACTAGGAAATCCAAAACCTGGACCACCGAGCCCATAGCTGGGTCAACCTGCAACCTGGAGCACCAGGTACAGAAGGCCCGCCAAGTAGCATTGTAAATTCTGGTAGTGGACTGCCATCTGGATGCCTGAATAGTTTGGATCACTTTGAGTGAGAATTGTCTTTGCCTCAGGACCCGACACTCAACCGCCAGGTGGTCAATTGAAGCCACTGAGGGTCCAGGTGCATCAATACTCCCTGACTCAGTGAGATCTTGTCATGTGGTATTCGCCATGGGCGAGCAATGGACAGGGTCACCAGGTCCGCAAACCATGGCCTCCTGGGCCAGTGAGGCAATATCAATATCACCTCCGCCTTTTCCTCCAGCAGCTTCCTGATGATTGATGGAACCAGAGGAAGTGGAGGAAAGGCGTATAGAAGGCCTGGAGGCAAAGGGCATCTATCCCCTCTGCACCCTGAGCTTGGTACCTGCTGAAAAACAGAGGTAACTGGGAGTTTTCTGGGGATGCGAAAAGATCCAGGACCAGGGTCTCGTATCTGTGAGTCAGCTGTTGAAATAGTGAGGGATGCAGATGCCATTCCACATAGTCCACCATCACCCTGCTGAGACTGTCTGCCTGCACATTCAGGGCCCATGATATGTCCGTAATGAAAGAAGATGTTGCTCAGGTGGCCCGCCTCCTTCATGAGGGACCTGGAATGCATCCCTCCCTGACGGTTGATGTGTGCTTTGGCCGTCATGTTGTCAGTTAAGATCAAAACGCGATGCCCGGAGATGGAGTCCTTGAAGATTCTGAGAGTCAAATGGACCCCTCGAAGCTCCAGCCAGTTGATCTCATGAGATCAGTCTCCCAAGGTCCACCTGCCCTGGGCTATCAAAGATTGACTGTGGACTTCCGGTGGCTCCGCGAACGCTGAAGGACACTCCTTTGGGAGCTCCAGCCCCGTGATTCCGTTAGCCGTTAGAACAGCGAAAATCAGCTGTCTAGCGGCTCGAAACTCTCCCCCTGGGGAAAAGGGGGAGAGAAGAACAGAGGGTTTGGGTAGAGCCCCAGGTTTTTTTTTTAAAGCCTGGGGTTTGCAAGGTGAGAGCTCCCTTAAAGCTCTTCAGTGCTCCAGATCCGGGATGAGTCTGCTTTATGCAGAATGAGGCATCGTGACCACACCAGCACCAGCAACTCAATTTTAAGGGGAAAAAAAATTTGGACTTGAAAGCTGGGAGAGCATATACAGGAGAAACAAAAATTGCAAGTACTAAACTTTAACTCCAAAATCTATCACTTCCCTCTGAATCTCTATGGTAGAAAGGGAAAGTAAGATAGCATGTGACTCTAACGGGGCATGGAGAAGTGAAACTTAGATACAAAGTATTATGTGGTGTTGAAAGCCCCTGTTTAAAAGAAGAGGATTTTATTTTAAAAGGAGAAGGATTTAAAAATTATATCTAAGAAAAAAAAATGGCTGGCTTTTCTGAAAGTGATGAAGGCTCACAAATGCTGACTGTGGATCTTTTGGAAGAAGTTTTAGAATCATTTACCTCTGCGTTCGTGGAAAGATTTGAAGGGATTCTTAAGAAGGATTTTACTCAAATCCCAAACAAAGATATAAGTAAAGAGGAGGCGGAAGAAAAAACCCAGTTTATTGTGCCTTTGGAAAATAAAATAGAGGTTCTTCAAATTAAAAAGGAAAAGCAGAAAGG